CAATTTCTTGCATATATTACTAATTATTTTTAGATTTTTGTGTTTTGCAGCAGAATTTGATCTTTTTCAGAATACCATGCCACAGCCTATGTTTGGCGGAGTAGCCCAAACAGACATCAGGACTGCAACAACAAATGTAAACTTCATTTAAACATTTAAAGAAGCGCTATCTACGAGAATTAGAATGTTTTTAAGGCAAGTCCGACCCTGAGCAGAGAACAGTTGGACAAAATCTGCAAAGATATCCAAAGAATCACTCAAAATTTCGGAATCAAAGATCCGAAAACATTTGCGCTCAACAATTGTTCGTTAATCAAAATGTACTACTCACAAGTAAGTGCTAGAAAATCTTGGAGATTTTTTTAGAACACTACAAAATTTTTATTTCAGGTCACGTGTGAACAAATCAACCATGTTATGGAATACTGTGAACGAGGTGCTTTCCTTGCTTAAGGAACTGTCATTGTTTGTATTCTTTTCATGATAAAATGACGGGTATTGTCAGTAGTAATTATGTATAGTGATCAATAAAAACTTTATGCATTAAAGTGCAGAGTCGAATGAACAGTATTGCACTACGTCCTCGCGCACGCCTATGCATTCGCCAACACGCGCTTGTCGCAATGCGAACGCGCGCGCCAGCTTCAAATGAATAGGAGAATTTTTAGTCAGATACAAAGATCTATCACGGTAATTGTCGTTGACCTCTGAATTTCTCATCATCTTACAATATAATATATAATAAAATAATACATAAATATACACTGATGAAAAACCGCGACGCAACCGCATGCATTGCCAGAAGAGCAGATTTGTAAGGTTTCAATTGGTTCAGATCTGTTAGTGAAGGAGCCTATTATGCCCATCTAAATTTTTCATTTGTACTAATCATGATGGCATTGTCGATATAAACTGCAAAACATCACTTGTTTTTGTTCCCGTTTGCGCCCATTTGCATTCCTTGGATGGTTGAACTGCTCTCAATAAATCTATTTCCTAAGGAAAAACACTGCAATAGTCCTATCACACTGATTTATCTACAGCTAATAATGAAAAAATCTAGAACTATATAACAATATGTGGCAACTTTTCAAAGTAGAATTCATAAAACAAAAAAAAA